CGCAGCATTGAAGTGATAACCTCGGAATCCACCAATGGTGTTCTTTGGATCCACAAAAAACGATCTCCGAATCCACGAAAAAAATATTGAAAGGGTAATTTTATTGATGAAAATATATTATCCTTTGGGGTTATATGACTTTTCTTAAATAGAAAAACAAATAAGACTCCTAGGAAGACTAGAATTATAAAGAAATAGAAAATATTAAATTCTATCCTAAAAAGACTCCCTATAATAGATGAAACAAATCATGAATCAAAATTGAATTTGCTTCTTAATCTAATTGGACTCTAATATTGAATTTATTTCCTAATCTAAATAGACTCCAATTTTATTACTAAAAATAAACTAAAAGCTGATTATTTTCAGATTTCAGCGAAAACTAGATATTGCTGATGATATTTTAAAATTTTAACAATTTGGTTGGCTCTGTCTCGTCGAGATAGGCGATTTACATATATAATATGTCAGAATTCGCCTTCTGAGTTGGAAGATATGATCATTTCTTTGCGGAGGTCAATAATACGTATAAATCTGTATTTAGCTCGTGATTGTTTGCACCCCCCATGAAATTGTCAGTTAAGCGTCCTACTTTAAGCAATCACTGAATATCCTCACAAGAAAGCTAAATTGTCTACGTTGTAAAAACTAAAAAATAGCATGAGCAAGAGGATACATACATACAGTAATCATGTTTTTGTTTATTCATGTGCTACTTTGGAAGCATGAAAGATGTGAAAGAAACTAAGAGGCTTTGTCCAGAAAAAATAAGAAAATAATTACACAAGTTTGGTAGGATGTGATAGTATGAAGATGGAGTTCCTGCCTTTAGTATCTTTTATTCATTAGAAAAGAGAGAAGAGTAGAAGCATACACCTGTGGGTTTGTCATGGTTTGACAAAACCTTAAACTGTCAGCTGTTTCTTTTTTCTTATTCCCTTCCTGTTGTGGTTAGATCAGGTTGATTAATTCTTGTGGATCCTTTCATCTAAAATATGGTTTCTATTTTTTGAAATTATTGGCTTATTCATGCATGAATTTAACTTCATTTTGCAGCATGAAAGTGCATTACATACGCTAGCAAATGCGCTGCTAGATTATGAAACCCTCAGAGCGGATGACATCAAGCAAATCCTACATCTTTCAGGAGGCCAACTATCTGAACAACAAGAGGAGCTTACGCTGACTTAGATCATGCATACAGTCTTTACCAATGTAAACAAGTGTACAGTTGTGCATTACAGGTACTCTATTTATAAAAGAATCAGCTATTTCTTCCCTTTATTTGTTGCCTTTAGAGATCAAAGAGAAGTATCATATTCTTCAGCTTAAACATTCATAAAATTGATAGCCAGGAGGGAAACAAATTTTTGGCATACGCTACCATTTGTATCAAGAGTTACCCATAAGGACGCCCATCTCTGATAATGGTAATGAAACTCTCTAGAAGAAAATCTGAGACATACTGGATGAAAAAAATAAGCAAAACATTTAAGATTAGCATTATTACATTTAAGAATAGCATTTAAAGTTTTGCCTGTACATTCGTAAACATTTCTGATTATAGCTGTATGAATACTTGGTTTAACACAATTTTGTGAACAAAATCATGTTATTGGAGTGCATCTATTACGTGCCGTGCATTCTTTTCGAAATAAGTTTCTTATCTATATGATTATGTTTATGCTTTATGGTTCGATTTTAGATTGTTACGTATATATATGAAATGCAGTAGGAACTTGGTTCTCAGAAAGAAAATGCAATATGTCAAAATATCCTAAGAAAATGTGTTTGATTGAAGAAGAGCACACAAGAAAACGATTGAACCATCGTGCGACTGCCAGACTTTCTTGAAAATATTTAAGCTTGATAGCCCCCAATCAGCCTATGAACATTGGGTTACAATTTTGCCATAGTATACTTTGGTTTTACTAAAACTGGTACCCTCCTTCAAGCGGCCTAGTGGTTAGGGCTTGGAGCCTTGGCTTAAAAAGCTAAGGGTTGATCCATGTTTATGACATGTCTATCTCCAATTTCTAATTATTAGATATTGTAATATTTGTGCAATTCCTCTGGGCCCGAATTACGAAAGGGGAGTCCCATGTTTCGGGATTTACTTGATTTTTCCTAAGCTGAAGTTTCTCTCTCCTGCGTACACACGCAGAGGGGATAAAAAGAAAAATTCCCCAAGGACCCAAAATATGGGACCAATAGGTGGGACAGGTGATGTGTCCCCTTTATATTGCATAATGAGCTGGTCATCATTAATGATTACCATCTTATTATGCAATAGGGGAGGGACACCTCACCTGTCCTCCCTATTGGTCCTATATTTTGGGTCCATGTAGCAAAACTCGGAAAAAAATGGTACCACTTGTTGCTCAAAGATGCATCATCAACAGTCTTTAAGATGATTGAAGTCCCAAGTTCTCGGCCTGAGTAACGTATTTAATAGACAGTTGTTTAACAATTCAAAGCAAGCATGGGACCATCGTGAATGATCCTCTGCTCGTTTCCTTCTACTTGAGTCATTCCTTTACTCTGTCTTATTTTAATATTTAACTCTGTTATTTTGATATTCAACTCTTCATGTGAGTGACTTCCCTCTTAACAGAGGCAAATTTCCCAAAAAAAGCGGTTCAAATATATACTTAAATTTGTCTACTGTGTCATTAAGCTTCTTTTTAAAATATGAAGTGGCTCCTTTGTCAAACTAGAAGGGTGGATCTAACCTTTAGCCATGGGCAACTCCTTGCAATGTTGTGGCAAATAACGTTTCCTTTCTACTACATATAAGCAACAGAAGTTTGCGTGAGGTTATGTTTTTAAGTTGGAAAGCTCATATATTTTATCTTTGTAGTTTCTATTTATTCTGTATCAAGCGACTATGAAAGTTTATCAGGAAACTATATAATTCATGTCGCATAATAATAATAAAGTGATGTTGAAATTATCATGTCTACGCCATTGGTTGGGCTGAGAAGGTAACAGTTGTCCCAATACAGCTAATTAATATCTTCATCTTGGAGCAGTTACTTTTAGTTGCCCATTAGAACCAATGAGATTGTCTCACGGCCTTCAAGTACTTCAAGATGTGTGAGAAAAATCACAGTTTGACAGAGACCATGATCAAAGTTTCTTCATCTCCATATTACTGAGGTTGCAAGTTTGCTAGTCATCTCACTGGGCCCCGCTTACCCTTTGTAGTACCGTACCGAGCTCATTTGAGAGTGAGGGAAAGCACTGCCAGCATTGTAGCTGAAAGCGTGCCAATTGTTTGATAGAGATAGAGAGACAAGTGTGCGTATTTTATTTTAGGGTGAACTAGACTAAATCGCATGAAAGCCCCAATAACTTTTGCAGAAAAAACCCATTGTCTTTTGGGTAATTTACACTAAACCCATAATAACTTTCAAAATGCCTTTTTACGTATTATTTGGGTTCTATTTTATGGGCGTTACTTATTAGGGGGCTTCCTGCAAAATGCAAAAGTTGTTGGGGTTCACCTCAAATTGCTGAAAGGTTTTGGAAGTTTAGTGTAATTTTACCCTTAATTTTATTTCCTGGAGTGGAAGCGGACATCAGTATTGTGGTCACTAACGAGCCAATCCACCAACTTTGCCCGGCCGCAGCAGCAATCCAAAAGTTTCAGGAAGAAACCAAAACATCAGTCGCAGCTTCCAGAATACATCTCTACTATATATTTTCGTTCGTTCGTTCGTTCGTTCGCTTTCTTCCTTGATGAGCATCATCACCACCAATGCTACCAGAAAAGTTCACAAGCACAACACGAGCATGCTCTCACTTGCAGAGTGATCGAGTGGACTTTTAGTACCAAATGTTGTCAGATTAACTTTTAATACCAAATTGATTAAGTGGGTGCAACTAATTTGGTAACTCGACCTATAAATCCTTTCTTCTCTTTTGGAATTTGTTTAAACCTTTCTTTTTCTACTTTTGTACAATAACTTGTTATTCTATCTAGAAATTCTCTATTAAGGTTTAGGTGTCATGATATGGGGGAACGAGCGTGAGAGAGCGTTGCCATTTGTACTTTTATGGTTAGAGTAGGAGTTAGGTGTAAGTTTTGCTAAATTATGCATGATTGTCTTGGTACAAATAAATTTTAGGGGAAGTTACAAAACATCCTCCTAAGGTTTGCATAATTTTATCTTTTTTAGAAAAAATGGAAATTTTTGTCATTAAACAGGTTGCATGGTAGTCAGCCCTATTTGATGGAAATTACAATAGAGTTTCAAAACTTGATGCAAACCTTATGAGGATATTTTGTGATTTTCCCTAAAATTACTAAAAAAAAATAATTTAAGATATCACCCTAGTAATTGATGCAAGTTCTGCCGAACCGCATCATGCGAGTAAGCTGCTTTGATCCATAAATAGGATAATATGAGAACAATTGGGAGATTTCCACTGCCTCCTTGCATATATAGTTTTTTTTTTTTTTAAATAGGATCTCTATTCCAAAGCAATCATTACATCCTAATTCTAATCTAAGAATCAGGTCCTCAAATCTAGCTTGACATTTATCATCAAACACAATCTAAAAAAGTAGCAAATGAGGAACATCAGAAAGAAAATTTCAAGGGTCTAAAACCCCACTTCAATTAAAAAGGAAAGTGAAGAGACTAGAAAATGCATTTAAACTTATTGTTGGGGATGTAGATTGAACTTCTTGATGGATACAAAACAAGAGTGATCCCCGAATAAACAAGGGGAAATGGAGCTTTCTGTACTGTCGTTTCACATGGGGATTAGGAATAAGTTGCAATCAACCCCTCTGTCGTGTAGCTAAACTTGCAAACCCCACCACAATTCACAAAAAGCTACAACCTTTACAAATCATCACCACCGTTTCCCCCAATTTGCATTTTGCATTTTGCATTTGTAGACTCTCAGTCTCGTGAGCTTAGCTTGCATCTCACTTACAAATTAAGACTTTTAGTCATAGAACCATCAGAACAAGCATTTACATCTCCACATCCAAAAACTTTTGTCTCCATGAACTGTAGAAAGTAGGAGGGGGGGTCTAATAGATTTTTACACAAATTAGCTACATAGCACACCACCAAAAAAAAAAAACAAAACAAAACAGAGAATCCGAACTCTCTCCACTTCATCCAAATTGAGTTCCTATGGCATCAGGTAGCAGATGGAGCCATGATGGGATTTATACACAACATTATGGCAATGAAGGATTTACACAAATTCTCAAATCTCAATCAATGTATAGGGTTTTCGATTGCAAGTATGAGAGAATGAAGTCCTGAGAGAGTTATTGCCTCATTGGAAACCCTAGGGAGCTTCTTAATATAGGCACTGTCTTTGGTTCTTCCACCTTAGTGCTCAGCAAACTCGATAATATGAACGGAGATAAATTAGCGAATGGGCTCTGTCCTGTCTTGAACAGCCAAACGTTCTGAAACATCTGCCAGGGATTTGAGGTTGCATTTGATCAATGCCTCGACGAAGTAACAAGTCTCGTCCTTGGTGTTTCCATCAGGCACATCAACTACAAATGACTCAATCACCAAAGTTCCTGGTCTACCGTCGATGATCTCAGGGTGGACAGTAATTACTGAAGAGTAGTTCTGCAGACATGAAGAATAATGTGCATTGGGAAATGATCAAAGATATCTTAACTGCAATATGCAATAATAATCACCACATCAAGACAGAATGCAACTCGTCATAGTAGTTTAGGATAGCGAACTTTGCAGCTCATCATGGTAGTTAAGTGTAGTGAAGTTCACAACATTAATCAAAGCAGAGACACATATCTATAACAAATATTTCAACATACAGGTTTCACAAAGGAAGTAACTGATTAATTTTTTTATGAAAGAGGAACGATAAGCCTGATGACCTCTAGTGCCTCCATAGTATACACAAATTATACGACAGGGTACCGTGAACGTATTCTATATAAGCCGGAGGACAAAATCGTGAAAAAACTTTGTTCTTAATTTGAGTTTACTATATATATTCTTTTTTCTTTTTTTCTTTTTTGTAAAAAAAAAGTGAGATGAGGCTCCTGTGTTTCCTCGCGCAATCTCAACCAAAAAAACCTGCTGACGAAGCACCAGGAAAAGAGGAGCACGCAACAAAGCACAAGCCATACATGATGTTGAGATATAAGAAGCATTATGAGCATAAGAAAATGGTGATAACTAGGGATTAGATATCTCCCTTGTAATTAAATAGATGGGGAAGAGTCCTCAAAGTTTGTTTAATTATTAGTTAGTATTCATATATGATTTATCTTATGTAAAAATTAAAGTGATGAAGAATGGAATACAACAGTCTGATGTCAATGTGATTATAGTTATATCTAGAAATAAATCATATATCAATAATCAAGAAAGTGGTCTCTCCACTGCTGAGCAATAACAACTGCAGAGCATCCAAATTCGTAAACCGTGACAACTGACTACGGATAATGATTATCAATAAAACAAAATGGCATTCGTCAAGGTTCCCAGTACCCCATGGAGAATGACAAACTGAACCATGCATGAACTGGGTTTGCATTATAAAGTAGAGTCAAGTCTCAACAAATGAACACACGTACGCAACCTATGAAGGTCAAGGTTGGAGATGCAAAGTTTACAAAATGATGTTTTTTGTGTGCAAAATTCAACCTAATATAGTCATCAAAATGGCAATTCATTTGCTAGCAGCAGATGAATACCCAAGCAAGCCTCAACTTTTCTAGGCGCGCGCTGTCTCAAAAGCTTTTGAGGATATTTCAAGGCCATGAAAAGGGGACTCACGCGACAATCATGCTACAGTACTTAAAGGTTGAAACCATCATCAAACATCAGAAAATCAATCTAAAAAAGGAAACGGGAAAAAGAAAAAAGAAAAAAGAAACTCAAAATTAAGCAAGGGTAATTACCCTAAGCCTGTGATCGCCACCGACGATCTTAATACTCAATATATGCTCGTTGTCGTCAAGAAACTCGAGCCTCTCGTGGCCGGGAGCCCGGACTTCACATTAACCTCCCTAACGCTGCCGATCTCAAGATCCCCCTGCACGACACAACACCGGCTCACAAAAGGTTTGTACTTCTGCGGCTGATCGAATCTCCTCACCAGCGACCAAACCTGAACCCGCTCAGATTAATCAGTTTAACCCAATAAAAACAAATAAAATTGGGAAATATATATGGAGGCTTTTTGTTGATGATTAATTACGAGATGAGCCGGAGCTCGGATGTGCTTGATGAGAGTGGAGCTGCACTGGTTGTCCCTGGCTTCGTGCTGGTGGTACCGGCGCACGTACTCGGCTTCCATGATTCGGAGGCTGTTCCCGTTCATCACCTCCTCGTTCCACGGAGCCGACCACCATAGCCGGATCTCCGCCGCCGCTGGCCCCTATTCCTCTTCCCACCATCGCAAACGGCACCAAAAACAAATTAACCCGCCCTCCTCCTGAGAACTTCAAAGAAAAAGTATCTCAATCTCTCTCTCTTCTCCTTCTAATTATTGAAGGTTTTTTACTTTCTTCGTATTTATTTCGTACAGAGGAGAGGGGGGGAGAGAGAGAGAAGATCGCAGAGAAGAGATGAGGAGGGGATTGCTGAGTGACTCGCGAGCACCATACAAAAGGTGGGGAAACAACAAGTTGAGATATAAAAAAATATAAAAAAAAAAATCCAAAGGGATGCTCTCTCTCACGCATCAGCGGTCCCCCACTGCTCCAGGTTCATGCACCGGATTGGCTCTTTCCTTTGACCTCTGATTTTTCGCTTATTCACGATTGTGCCACTATTCCTAGAGTAGGCCTCCTGTTGTGGCGACTTCCTGATGATCGACGATGATTGGCTGCTGCTGGAATTCTGTGGCTTTTATCGTATAGGCCTCCGTGTCGGTAATTTGCCTGCCCGCCTAGTTTAGTTACCGTTTCGGTGTTTTTATTACGTCGAATCTTGCATGGGAAAAATATCACTTTAGCTACAGGAAACTGCCACTTGATGATTGCTAGTTTTGAGTTTTGTGGCAATTGGCTGGCTCTTTTTTTTTTCTTCCTTCCATTTCTTTGTCTTAGCTACAGAAAAAGGTTTTCTTTTTTAGGTAAAGATGATATGAGCTATTGATTTGAACTAACTAACATCTTCAACAAAAATTACTTATTTTTTTTTAGTTGAATTAATGGATCATGTTGGATATGCACTCGTATCTTTAATTTCTAAACAAGGTCCGTCTAAAGAACTCTTTTATCTAAATAAATGTTACAAATACTTTAAAAATTAATGACAGAGTAAATTAACCCGATTTTGTAGATGTTCAACTAGCCCCAATTTTGTTTTATACCATTAACAAATTATCAGATAATAATATTTAATTTTTTTGACGATCCTCGGGATATTTCTCAGTTATTTGAAAATAGGAATACGTACAATTCATATTTTCCTTGGCCCCAAACCTCCCCCCCCGCCCATCAACTCACCACTACAAGTAATAATAGAACACAAGATCTTGCTTGCCCCGTTGCACGAACAAGGACATAGTCGTGTCGATTCGGTACCTATGGACCCTTGTGCAGGCTCTTTATCTTTTCTTTTTGACGACCCAAGTTCCCAAAACATAATGTAGACTGCAAAATCACCCTACTTTCTTTGTCCAGCAGTTAAAAAGAGGACCGGTCCACAGTAGGATATCTTTAGATCCTTCAGTAATTAAAGGACTTGACCCTTCACAGGTTGCAATCACCCTTAATTATATCATTTAATGATCTGAAAACATGATTATAACCTATAGAAAGGGCAACAGCAGCAGGTCCTCAAATTGTTGCCTGCCCCTCTCGTTAGACGTAGTTGACATTTAGGGCCTCATCCAGTGCTCCTCTACCTACCCCCATTGATCCCTGTAATTTCTCCCTAATACCAAGGGCATCCAAGTAATTATGCTCAATATTTTAAACCCCGTTAATTTTCAAGCAGTGCAACAACGTGAGCACCATCCCTCGTCTTGGACGTTTGCTGGCCCCTCCGCTGCGCCTAAAGCCAGACAGACACCTACCGCAGATCTCGATGATGACGGTTTAGATGATACCACGTGTCTACGGCTGAACCAACTGAACATGGGCGGTCCAATTTTATATAATTTTCTCTCTCTCTCCTCCACTACTGAAAATTCCCACAGCTCTCCTGCACTGAAGCCTGATAATTACTTTAAGGGGCTGTTTGCTTGCCTAAAAAAGTGGGAAATCAAAGAAAAGGAAACATATTTTTAAGAAAAATAGGTTTTGGGATTGTTTGGTTGGCTAAAAAAAGAAAGAAATCAAAGAAATGGAGATGAGATGGGATGAGTTGTCACCTTATTATAAGATGATGTGAGTGATTTTTTAAGAATACTTGTTTTGATGTTGTTTGGTTGGCGGAAAAAATAAGAAAATAAAGTATAAAAAACATATTTCTTGTATTAGGTTGTTTTCTTTTGTTTGGTTATTTCTTAAAAATAAGAAAATAGATGAGATGAGATGAGTTATCATTATATTATTGGATGATGTGACCACACTTAAGGAAATTATTTCGCTAGCTTTTTGAGAGGAAAACAAAGAAATGAAATGTTAATGAGATGAGATGAGTTGTCACAATCTTATTGGATGATGTGAGTGATTTTTAAATATGAGATGAGATGAGTTGAGTGATGTTGTGGATGAAAATAATATTTTATTAGATATGGTGGATGTGATGGATGAGTTGTTGGATGAAAATAATATTTTATTAGATGTGGTGGATGAGTTGTTGGATAAAAATAATATTTTATTAGATGTTGTGGGTGAGTTTTAGGGATGTAAATGTGTAAAATTGTATTTTTTGAGATTTTTTGGTTTTCATTTCTATTTTTTGGTTTTTTATGAAATAACCAAATAAGAGTACCGCACGGCCAAGTGTGCTAAAATTATGTCCGTACCCTCAGTTTTGGCAAATAGAAGGTAAACTAGTTCTTTTTAGGGCCTGTTTGGTTATTTCCTAAAAACCAAGAAAAACCAAGAAATGGAAATGGGAAAGGTGAAAATCTCAAAAAGTACTATTTCCTCCATTTCCATCCCTAAAACTCACCCACAACATCCAATAAAATATTATTTTCATCCAACAACTCATCCACATCATCTAATAAAATATTATTTTCATCTAACCACTCATCCATCACATCTAATAAAATATTATTTTCATCCAAACATCACTCAACTCATCTTTTTTCATCATTTCAAATCACTCACATCATCCAATAAAATATTATAACAATTCACCTCATCTCATTAACATTTCATTTCTTTGTTTTCATCCCAAAAAGTTGTGAAAACACTTTTCTTAATCTTGGATCACATCACCCAATAATACAATGACAACTCATCTCATCTCATTTTATTTCTTATTTTTAAGAATGAACCAAACCAAAAAAAAACAACAAACTACAGGAAATAGGTTTCTTATAATTCATTTTATTATTTTTTTTGGCCAACCAAACAACATCAAAACTAGTTTTCTTAAAAAATCACTCACATCATCCAATAATAATATGACAACTAACATCATTTCATCTCCATTTTTTGATTTCCTTCATTTTTTAGCCAACCAAACACTCCCAAACCAATTCTTCATTTTAATAGTTTTTCATTTCTTTGATTTCCCTCTTTTTTTAGTAAAACAAACATGCCCTTATAAACTAGTTTAAAAGGAAATTAGGACGGGGGTGGATTAAAAAATAACAAGTTTAAAGGTTAAAATTTGGCCTAATAATACTAGTTTTAGTCTTGAGTTAGATTTTGAAAAATTAGAATTAAGACTTTGGACCAATATTATCTTTATCTGATCTTGTTTAATAGATTTGCCAAACACTGTCTTGTCTTATGCATTTATTTACGCACTAGCCATAAATAATTTTCGTATGGATTGTTCTTTGTCTCAAATGTCTTATAGCGTTTAAAGAATTAGATAGATGTCACAAACTACTAGTCCTTTATAAGGGTGTAATAGCGATTTTTTTTTGCTTGTTAAATGCTCAATTTACTCAAAAACATAACACCCAGGTCAACATTTTATACTTAAGTTTGGGATGTACATTGTGTGTTTTAAGTACATTGTACTTTTTTTTAAGCAAACGAGTCTTAGTAGCTCCATAAATTATTATCATGATTTTCTAAATGAAGAAAAGTAAGCTTCATATTTATAAATATAGGATAGTAGATTAGTTGTTTCTTAGGGGGGTTAGTCAAATAGAACTCAAAACTAGTATATAATTTGTAAGATAAAATTTTAGGGAAAAATGTGTCGGGGCCCCAAAAGCTGAAATATCATGTGACGAGGCCCCTTGTATTTTCCCCCTTGTGTATAAGCCCCAAAAAAGCATCCTTTAATATTTCTAAGGCCCTCCACGTCAGCTGTATACAGCTAGAGTCATTGTATTTTGTAAAAACCCGACTTTGCCCTTCTTCTTCGTCCCCAGACGCTTTGTCACATCTCATTAAATGAGACTGGACTCGATTACGGCGCCTCTTTTACACCGCCTCTATTTTTACTTTCTTCCAAAATACAAAAGAGCTACCGAAACTCTCAATCTTCCATTTCCAGCGACGGAGTATATTTTCGCTGTCTAGGTTTTTCGCCGGAAAATGTCGTCCAGGGAAGCGGAATCTGTAAATGACTACGAAATCTCTCATACCAGCGATTTGAAGGAAAAAGACGGTTCGTCTGGGGTTGGCAGCGCAGAGGAAGCCACTCAAACCCTCATGGTAATGCAAAAGAATGCCCTAGAATGGCGAAACCGCCAAAGAAGAACGGCAAGGGCTGGCCGTGCCATCGAAACCCCCCCCCCCAGAAAAACAGTAAGTGCTAGGTATCCACTATCTGGGGTTTCGAAGTTATCCACTATTTGGGGTTTCGAAGTAATGTGCCCTAATGTTAGTGCTAGGCAATGTTAGTTCTAGTTTGAGTCCATGTTAGTTCTATAACAGTCGGCGTTAGTTCTATTAGATGTCGTGCCCTAATGTTAGTGCTAGAAATGTTAGTTCTAGTTTCAGTCCTTGTTAGTTTTATAACAGTCGGCGTTAGTTCTATTAGATGCCGTGCCCTAATGTTAGTGCTAGGCAATGTTAGTTCTAGTTTGAGTCCATGTTAGTTCTATAACAGTCGGTGTTAGTTCTATTAGATGCTGTTTAGTGTTAGTTCTAATTCAACTTGAAATTTTTATTTTTACAGGAAAAGGCTTGCTGAATTTAACCCGTTTGAATCATTAAGGCTAACCGTCAATATCACGGGTTATTGGAAATTCATGAAGTCTATTGCTCCGAAGATGTGTCAGTGCCACATGGATGCATATCGCGGATCGATATTTCAGCACTACATTTTATTCGGGGCTCTCCAGCCTGATCGCCCACGCTTGAACTGCTGCTGAGTTATTATGATAGGGCCAATGACACATTTTGTATCCCTGATTCAAAGACTGTGGGCTTGAAAAGTGTTAAATTTGATTTGCAATAGGTCCATAACCATACATACTTCCCAGCTCATGGGGAACTCATACATATCAACCGGGACTCAACAAACAGAATCTAATTACAATACTTCGCTCATCTTTTTAAAACTGAAGATGGGAAGAAGTTAAA